GAGAGTAACAGTTCATCTACTAGTTTCCAGCAGAAATAGGATTGGTGGGGGGATTGGTGGTTTATTTTTCCTCTGTGGGGTTTTGGGTTGGTTTGTTTTGTTTGTTTTTTTTCACAGTCTGGCTTTTTTAAGTCTACACAGGTAATACTTTAGAACTGTTAACATAAGAAATGGATATTTTAAAAATAAAATCTGTTAATTCAAATATCAAAAATATAGTGGCTTGGCCTGGAAACTTTTTATGCCACACGAGTAACCTTTCTCACAGGAGTAATCAGTGAGACTACTCATGCAAACCAAGTTATTCACATGGTAAATGTCTGCAGAATCAGCCTCTAAATTAGCATTTTAGGGACATACTTCTCTCTCAATGGATTATTCATAAATACAGGAAGAAAAAAAAAGTGAGCAGTTTTGAAACTATTGCTTTAAACTCTTCCTGTTCTGACACTTGTTCCATATCATAGCCCTAGCATAGTAAGAGCTGGAATCCCAACTTTCAGACTTAAAAAAAACATATTAGAAAAAATTCTGATGGAAAGTTTTCCTATCAGCCAATTATATTTTTTTTATAAATGAAAAGGTAACTGTTCTTCTCTGTAAACAAGTGAAGAGTATATTTAGCCCTCAAAAACCTGACAATCCTCTATTTCTGGAGAACACAAAACTGTAAAGAAATTTTAGATGTAAGTAGCTTCTTACAGAACTGGTTCAACATACTATGGCAGCTGTCATCAAAAAAATTTTATACTTCCCTTCAGATGAGAATGACTTGTAAAAACACTGGCATATTTTGAGCAGTATTTGCCCCATGAGAGAATGAGGTGAACCTGGGGATAACAATGGCCTACACTTACTAAAAATAATTTTTAAAACTGTGTCTAACAGTGTCAGTTTTCATAAAGTGGAAACTTTCAGTTTATCTTGATCTTGCTTTCTCAAGATACTATGTCAAGCTATTATAAACATCACACCCAAGATGACAGCTTTATGAAGAAAGAAGAAAAGGGTTTAATTTCACATTCTCATAAGGAATTGTTTCAAAAGGTTTTGTCTCCCATAATAAGCAGTCGTCTGGAAATCCATAAGTGTTGTGAAAATCCTCCATGTCCTGACCCTTTTTCATCTTCCTGCCATGAAGCATATTGAAAACCACAACACATGACTGTGGTCTCTGTAAGAGAGGTTCACAAACCTAAGAGGCCACATCCAATCCTTTCTCTATGGGACTTGCCCTGTACTGAACAACCATATACTTTTTAGAGGCCCTGCTTAAGAACTTGGGCTCATGTAAGTTACTAGTTACTTAAAGTCTTCCAGATGTTAAATACTATAATTATTGCAGATGTCAAGACTGTAATTAGTCCAAGAGTTTTTAACACTGCTTCAGGATGTACTCAAAGGTACAAGCTGTCCCAACTGAACTTCAATGTATACAGCCCAGTTTTCAACCAAAGAGGGTTGTTCCAGCAGACAGAGCATCTACACAGCAAGACAAACCATGCAATTCTTCTGTTCAGTATCCAGTCTGTGAAGAAAACCGTATTTGTGGCAGACTTGCCAGCTCAGGCAGAGTTGTACAAAACTGGCTTGAACTGGAGCTGTAAGAGCTCAGCCCTTTAGAGCCTTCAAGACTGTCAGAGTTTGGAACTATGTGAACACTGCAGCGTAATCATTTATTTGAAGACTTCTCACAGAAGTATCCATCTAAAAGGCTTACAGCAATAACAACTTCACCACAGTTTCTCCAGCTACTAAAGTTTCCACAAACCTAAAAACTTACTAATTTCCACCTTGTATTCCCCTCCTATTTCTTAAGCAGCAGGCATAGCTACACAATCATTTATTGCAAACTGAAAACTTACTTTAATTCAGGCTGCTGTAGTTATAATCACTTTTTACAGAGTATTTACAGTAGCCTTGGGTTCCATTGCATTTCTACAATTACACTGGTGTGACACAAATTCCCATTGTGAAGCATATTAGGTCTAAATAGCTTTGTGTACATACTAATCTACATAGTGCGCTAGAGATATGTTATTTTATTAAGCTATAGGAGGAACCACCTGACAGATTTTTATGGATTCCATAAAAATCAATCTTAAGCAGACCTTTTCTGAGGAGGTCAAATGTTTCTTCTCAGACTAATTCTGCAAAGCATTTCAGATCTTCCCTTCCATTAAAGGGAGCTGAGGATATCCAGCATTTTGAATTATAAGACCTATAAATGACTATTCACAAGTAACTCATTAAGCAGCCAAACAGTTCCTTGTAAATCAGAGTTACTGGTTTAAAAATAAAATTTAACTGACATCCCAGTTAAAAGCAAACAAGAAACCCAAGAAACAAACAAAAAACATGACCCAAACAAACAAGCAAACCCCCAGCACTTCACTTAAGAGAGATGGGCATTTCTTTTTTCCCAAAGAGAAACTACTGTGAAAGCCTGTGTTCACATTACAGAGTACTGGACAAAAGGAAATTTCTTTTAAAATTCAGTCTGTATACACTAGCATAAGATATTTCAACATACACATGTAAACAATATTACAACCCAAATTGAGTTCACTTAAGCTGCAATGACATTCTCTTATACTCTCTAATGCGTGCTACAAGGTCTGTGTCAGGTATTCTTTGACAGCAGCTTGGCACATTACACTTGGAGTGAAAATGTGACACCCTACACTCACACATTGGAAAAAAAAACCAAAAAAGCTTTAAAGTGCTTGCTATTTAATGTATAAAATAAAATACTTGAATGAAGTACCCAGAGGTTTCCTGAGAAATCATTTGGGATTTCAAAATCCCAAGGAGACGAATTGGCTGTCAGATAACAATGCACCCTTATCAGATGGACTTGGCAGTTGTAAACAAGAACAATTTTCCCAGCTTTTCCCCACAAATATGAAATATTTGCTCTTAGACAACAGCTGGGGCAGTTTAAAGACATCCTACATATATATTCAAATTACAACTTACCCACACACCTAACATGAACTGAATTCCAGCAAATTAAAGAAAATGACAATTGGAGCACATGTAATGTAAGTCTGAAGACAAAACAACCTACCCTCAGACCTAAATTACTAAATTTTCAGATAGCTTAGTTTGCCTGCTGAAGGGTGAACAAACATAACCCAGAAAGTATTACAGTTTCTCTCTAGAACTAGTATCTTATGTAAATGGAAATATCTATTGTGTTCCAATTATCAAAGCAAAACCAAAGAAAAAATGAAACAATGTAACAGCAAAACACAAACATATCAGACAAGTAAGTTTTAGCTACTGAAGTTCATTTTTCTCTCCTAAAACAATTCTGTACTTCAGAAACAAAAACAGTAAGAGTGTTGAAGTTTTCTTGAAATTTGTTAATAAATCACATAGCAGGAGCTTACTTTGAAATAATTACGAAATAAGGCTGCCGATAAACTGTTTTAAAACTTGGTAAGGATTTGGTATCTCAGCGTCAAATCACATTCACAGTGAAAGTGTGCCTCTTTTAATGTTTTTTTCATCTTTCATAAATGTGTATTTACTTTTGCAATATGAACTACACTGCTGTTTATTTTTTTTATCTAGACACCATAAACCAAATTTAGCAATGTGTATATATTATTCCAATAGATCCCTCAGCAGGAAAAGCTGTTTTAAATCTCTATACTTTGTACAAAGTTGAAAACACATTGTGAAAAAGCACTGAATTAAGTGTTTTAATATGCCTTAGAAATGCACAGCCAGCTTTTTCCCAAAGAGCAATAGATCTCATTAAAATTTATTTTTAAAAAGTTGCACTATATAACAACACATTTTTTAGGTCAAAAAGTTACTTTGGTTTATTTGAAAAAAATGAGGTAATTATCTCAAGTACGTAATATTTCAACTATTATAGAAATATCAAAATTACACTGGTGGCTACTAAGTCTCTTGAACAGCTTTGTCTAAATGACCAACCAAACCATAATGGTTTGCGGAGGTTTTTGTTTTAAACTCACAGTGAGCAGCTGTGGATACAAAGCAACTATAATAAGACAAACTATGTTCACCCCAGTGCTGGTTTTCAATGGAGTAAAGTAGAAATACTTTCATAAAGTTAAAGAAGCAGCAAATAAAACACTAAAGACCTCAGAACTATGCTTAAAGAAAAGGTGATATAATGAAAATGCAACTATGACGCCTAATAATGAAGACACAAGTCAAGTTCGACAGGAATATATATATATATATATTATACTTTCCAGGCTCCACACTATGTCCAACAATCAGCATCCTGTTTTTAATGAGTCAGATGTCCCAAGCTGCACAATATATTTAAAAAATATTTTCATTTGAAGTGTAACAAAATAAGAAGGCACATACTGAAAACAAGTTTGGGAATTCCTAATTTTCTAGGACTTCCTTCAACCAAGTAGGCATTTGTACTTCAACTTAACCAGATAAGGTCCTCTCATCGCTGCCCCATCTTCTCTTCCCACAGTGCTCATTTTTTTATAAAATACAAATTAAAATTATTTTTGAAAACTTACAGTTCGTATTTTTTAAGCCTTTGTAAAAGCTTTCATCATATAAGAACTGGAGTAGAACTGAATCACTGCTATGTAACAAGAAAACACTCCATAGCCAGTAGTTACTTCCAATAAGGCATTGTATAAAACATCTAAAACTACAGGTCAGAGAACAGGCTTCTTTCGGTACATTTGAGTTCTCAAAAGTCCCTGTGTATTCAAGATCAAAGTGAAAATATTTTATAGTATTCAAACTATTTCCTACAGGACAATTGTAGTTTGCACTTTGAATCCAGACTGCTCTTGAATACTCTCGTCCCCAGCCGAGTCCCTTAAATACTGCTTGAGAATTTCTTACTTCTCTTGTGTCTCAGTAAGGCTAGAAGTCTCAAATTAAAAACAAAAAAAAGTATTAAAAAAACCTGAAACTTGAGTACCTTGACACACAACTAATTTGACCCCCCAAAAGCTGATACTTTTAGAATTAAAGATACTTACAGCCTCTCCAGTTCTTTTAAATCCTGGAATGCTCCTCTCTCAATAGTACTGATCTTGTTCTCCATGAGCTGACTGAAATATAGAAAAATTTTATATGCAAGTTTTAGTATCGCTGACATAACTTGTTGCATTAACAATGGTCATTTAAAGGCAGCCACCTATTCTTTAAAACAATCCAAAAGCTATTCTAGAGTGACATCCACTTTAACCTTCTGTATCCCTGTCATCAACAATTCACATGGGCTCACATACCCAAAAGAAGGAAAATAACCCTTGGTAAAAGAAACAGGAATCAATATTACATTTGCTCATTTACTTAAAGAGTCCCAAGTCAAAAAGCAGCACATGCCTACACGCTGTGTGCACAAACATCCCTGCCCTTCAGCAAGCTGTAAGACGCCAGTCCAACAGTATGAAGGTGACAGTAGTCTCACATGGGAATAACAAAACTAAAACTCTGAATCGTGGTGTTGGGAGAAACATCAGTGAAAGACTGCACAGGGACTGCAACCATAAGAGTATCTCTGTTTTGTAACAAAATTAAAAATTTCTATGTTATATTTACTTCAGAGAGAAAAGGAAAAGGATTTTACAAGACTACTAGCTCAAATTAAATTTGCCTTAACAAATAAGTAGTTAGATACTGACTTCAGAAAGCAACAAAAAACCAAAAAAACCACACACACAAAAACCACACACTGCACCGAATTTTAAAACCTCAATAATGCTTGAAGGCTTGGGGTTTTTTAAGCAAATAAACAGAAAACCCAACCAAACAATTCCTTCCTCAACTTCACTGGTAAAGTGCTCCTTTTTGTCCAGAAACTACAGAAGAGCAATAATAATCACCTGAGACTTGCTTTTATATTCAGTAAAGGAATAACTTTTTTCTTAATTAACTCTTTTATAGTTCTGGTTGAGAGTACCCATTTTCAGTGTGAACTATGAATTTCACAGCCTTAAACTGAAGTAACTCCAATGGTTATTCAACCAATTTTGGCAACTCTTATTTGTAAGCTATGTGCTAAACTAAGTCCTCAAGTTCTTATAATCTTAAGGGGAGATTAAAAAATTTAAACAAATTTTATTTAAGGGAATTGCTAACTTGTGCATAACAGTGTATAACACATGGCAGAGCAGTTTTAGGTCCAGATATAGTAGTACAGTAGTTAAAAAGTGATAGTCCATCCAGCTAATGAACTGAAATGTAACTACAACCTGTAGCATCAGTCCTAAAAGTTATCAATTTGAGAAAGAGAAAACTTACAGGACTCGAAGGTGCCTTAGACCAGCAAAGTCAGTCTTCGTGATTCTTGTGATGTTATTTCCATTAAGATCCCTAAGAAGATAATTTGGAAGCAGCAAAATTAAAACATTCAAAAGCTATTTTTAAATTGTTTTGTTTTCATGGGCACAGCATTTTTAGAAGTTTAGAGACATATGAATGCAACAAACCGTTCTTACAATTAACACCATGCGAGTTCCTGATCTCCAAGCAGTTGAAATAAAATTTACCTCGAAAACAGTAGTTTGAAACTTTGTAGCAAGAGAGTCTTGGAAAGTCAGTTCTGCCTTCCATTACAAAGTTCATGCTCATCTTTAACTACAATATTTAGCAATAGAAGAATCCAAGGCTCTATTAATGGGGTTATAGCTGCATTTAGAAAACCACAAAACTTTGTACATATAGCAATATCTATATATACGCTACAACCTTTATCTGACATTTACAAAAACTAAGTGACTGAAAAAAAAGACAATTTGCACCATTTCAAGCAATTTTCAGATTTCCCAATATGGCTAAAAAGGTGGCATAGGGCTTAACTACCTGTAACAAATCTTAAGTTTCAAACAAGCATTAACACTGCTGGAGTAAGAGATGGGAAATAAGGTTTTACCAAAACTAACCTCTCCACTTGCTGCACAGGAAACTACACTGACTGCAGAATGCAAAGCAAGTTCAGAACCAACAGAAACCTGTATTTAGGCCCCAGCATTTCTGATCGTACTTCCATACTACTTTTTCTTCTGAAGTATATGCCTCCTTTTCATAACTTTTTGGGTTTAAGATATAAACATCTTTCAATTCCAATTGCTACAAATAAAACCAGACTTGGCAGCCCATGAGATAAATCTTTAGGAAGTGGTATTACATGGAAGCTATTCTAACAATTACAGCTCATTCCCAACGTAGCTAGCTAAAAAAAAAAAAAAAAAAAAGAAAAAAAAAGTAGGTTTTTTTCTTTTAGTGCTTTATACCACATATGGCCAAAACACCACTGTAAAGAAACCACACGAGTCTCAGGAGGAATGTGTCTCTGATACTCTTCCTGAGTGAAATTCACCACTCCAGACGCGCGTTCACATGCCAACATTTAAATGACTTATCAGAGGGTAAGAAATAATGGGCACATCACTTCCACTCTTAGGACCCCTCTGAAAGGCAGCCTGACATGATAAATAACCGGCCACATCTAGAAAACAGCCCAGCCGCGGGTGAAGGGAGGGATCATCGTTGCGGCACGACTTAGCGCCCCGCGAGTGCGGCTATCGCAGCCCGGCGTGCCCTCGGCCCCCGGCAGATGCGCCTGGCACCGGGGCAGCGCCGGCAGCGCGCCCCCGCCCGCTCCTCCGCGCCAGCCACCGCGGCGGAGGGAGTGCTGCGCGCCTCGGGGCCTCCCTGCCCACGCCCGCGGAGCGCGGCGGAGCCGCGGCCCGGCTTTGCCCCCGGGAAGGCGAGCCGTAATAGCCAAGTTTGACGGGAAATGGGCGCCGGCAGGGGAAGAGGCCGCTCCGCCGCCGCCCCGGGGCGCCCCCCGACCGCGGCGGTGCCCGCCCCCGCTCCCCGCGGAGGCGGGAACCGCGCTGCTCACCGCGGCTTCCCGGGATGAAAGGCAGCGGCTGGGAGCAGCGCCCACCTCTTCCGTGTCTCCGCGCATCGCTGTGAAACGGGCACGGCCGGCAGTAGGAAAAGGGAACAGAAACCCCCCACCCAAAGGGCGTCGGGACCCCAAACCAGGCCGGCGCCGGGGGCCACCTCAGCCCGACAGCCGGCGGGAGCCCTGAAGGGAGCAGGGGGCCGAGGGGCGCTCGCCGCCGCCCCAGCCGGGTTACTTACAGCCTCTCGGTGTTGCGGGGGATGTTCCTCGGGACGCCGCGCAGCGCCAGCCCGTGACAGTCCACGGTGCTCCCCGAGCAGGAGCACTGCGCGGGGCACGGCTGCGGCGCCACCGCGCCCGCCATCGCCAGCAGCAGCCCCAGGGACAGGGTGAGCTTCCCCCGGCCGCACATCATCACCGCCCGCTGCAGCCCAGCCGGGCCCACCGGCCTCGGCCCCGGGGAGGCGCGGGGCGCGCCGCCCTCCTCGCCGCGGGGAGCGTTCGGGCAACTTTCAGGGTGCGGAGATTGCGAAGTCTTTTCTATCCAAAGCCAAGTCAAGAAAACAACCCCGGCAAAGTGAGGCGGGTGGCACCGGTCCGCGGCTGAAGGCAACTTCGCTAGGCACGGGGCCGCGCCGGGGCCGTCCCTCGCTAGCCCGTCGGTGGCTGGGAGAGGCGGCACTTGGGTCTCGTCTTCACACGCTCCCTGCGATGGTGAAGCGAACCCAGGGGCTCAGGGTGCGGTGGAGTTGGGCGAGCTACTTATCTTCTTCTTCGTCCCTTTCAAAGCCGTGACTCCCCGCTGAGCACCCGGCGAGAGGCCGCGCAGCCCCGTCCGCCCCAGCAGCGCTTCCTTTGCGGCGGCCCGCGCAGCGCTGCAGCCGCTCCCACGCGCGTCCCCCGCCGCGGGCCGCTCACAGCCCCACGGGGGGCGGCGGCGGGGCTGACACCGCGCACACACCGCCCTGCCAGAGGCGCCTCAGCAAATCATACCCCTCTCGCAGGCATTCATCAAACTGTCTCACGGAAGGAGGAGGGAGGGGAAAAAAAAAAGTCAAACACACAAGATGCTGTTGGGCTTGGCTCTCCACCCCCCGCGCCCCCTCCTGCTGTACGCTCCCAAGCCAAGTTTAGCAGGAAAGGGCTGGTCCTAGAACACGATAATAATAAGCAGTCGAGAAGTGATTCGTTGCTCTGCGGGAAGGGAGTTCATCCACGACCTTCTTCTCGGTGACAGATCACAGTTATAGATCCTCCTGTGATCCCGGGAGCACGGCGAGACAGAGCAGACAACAAGCGAAGTGCGGCGAGAGCGGGAGGGGAGGGGTGTTATTCTGCTCCCCGTGGTCTCCCGGATACCGTGGCTTTGCTGCGGCAAAGGCACCTGATGAAAGAGGTGGAAACTGCTCAGTCCTTCCAGGTGAGGCCAGTTCAGCAGCTCCTGGGCTTACAGCAGAAAAGGGAGCAACTTTCCTCCTCTCCCTGTGCCCCCCGAGGCACAGCGCCTCGGGAAGGGTTGGCGCCTCTTTCCCCGATCCCGCCGGTGCACCTGAGCTGTCGGTGCTGGTGCCGAACAGCCCGGCCCTCGGCTCCCTGGCGGCGGCGCTCCTCCGGCGCGGAGGGAAAAGGCGGAGGGGGCGGTGGGGAGCGGGAGAATGGAGGCGACACGCTGGGCTCCTTCCCTCGCACCCCGAGTCTTTCCGCCTGAACAATGGGATAGCACCGCCGCTCGCAGGCCGGCCGGCTCTCCTCCCCGCCGCAAGGTGCCTGCCGCCGACCGCCGAAAGTGCCACCCGAGCGCGGCCAGCAGCCAAACGAGCCTCCGGCGCCCAGCCGAGAGCTCCCCACGCGGCCGCCCGCCGCCCCCCGCCCTGCCCGGTGCGGCGCCCCTCGCCCGCTCCCACGGAGCCGGGAGCACCCCACGCACCGCCCTATATAGGGCCGGCCTGGCCGCGCCCCCCCGGCCCCGCCCGCAGCGCCCCGAGCCCGCTCACTGGCTGCGCCGCCGCCCGCCCCGGCCCGCCCGGCCCGGCCCCGGCCCAGCCCGGCACGGCCCCGGCCCGGCCCCGGCACGGCCCCGGCCCGCCCGGCACGGCCCCGGCACGGCCCCGGCACGGCCGACCCTTAGCGGGGGGTGCGCGCCGCCGCCGGCGATGAATGAAAGTTGGGGGAGCGCGGAGGCGGAGGCAGGTTCCCCCAGCCCGGCCGGGGAGCGCGTCTCCACTCCCACTCCTCTCTCCACTCCCACTCCCTTCTCCACTCCCACTCCCCTCTCCACTCCCCGCCGGTGGAGCGTGGAGTTGCTGCGCGGAGTTTGTCACGCAGCCCTGGCCTGCGCGTCAGGCGCTCCACGAGGGAGAAGGGAGAGGAGGAAGCAGGACCGAGGTCCTTCGCGATACTCGTGTGGGTTTTAGCTGGAGAGGGAGGGGGCTGAAACGCTGCTGACTGCACTTGGAAATGTCTTGGGAGTCTCACCGAGGGTCTTGTCTGGGAAAGAGGGCAAGGATTGTAGTGGCATGTTCTTTGGTTGCAGATTTAGTGTAAATCTCTCATAGGTTATTTTCGAAAATAAAATAAAAGGGGCAAGTGTTATTCCACACATTAAAATACGTCAGGTATTAGCAACATTAGCACTGCTCCTTTAGAAAACATCTTCCAATAAAAAAAGTAAATAAATAATTGTACTCTTAATACACACACAATGTTCCTAATAAATTTTCCCAACGTGTTGTTTGTTGTCAGTGGATCTTCTGCAATCCTAGGAAAATAATACGTCCATCTTAACATTTTAACTCATTTTTTTCTTCCTTGCTTGTGAATTCAGTTCTATGTGATTTATAACAGCTCTTGAGACTCCAGTAGTAGGTGAAAGTGATTTGTCTTTCATTAGACGGGAAACCCCAGCAGGGATGACTAAGCCTTCAGCAAGGTGTAGTTTGGAAATGCTCAAGGGAGTCTATCGTTTCTTCCATATGGCTGGGTCCAGCTGAGTCTCTTCATCCCTGGGGTCTCTGCTGCACAATCCCTGCAAGGGATTACTGTGTCTTTTTGCCCGTTACCAAGAGGACAAATTCTGTTCTCAGAAATGCTATTCTAGAGCCGAGTTAATCTGCTGAAGTGGAAGCCAACGAAGTTTCTCCTGACTTCTCTTACTGTAAAATGTGAGCCCAAAGGAAAATTTCAAAAAATGCCCACGCCTACAAAAGCATTATAGTTTTTGATCCATTTGTTTAGACAATGCTCAGTAAATATGATTGTTGCACTGCTTTCAAATGCTGATAATGCCATCTTTGCTCTTACAGAGATGCAAAGATATTCCAGTTTTTACATTGATGCAAGAAGGAGAATTCAGTGAGTGTAAGGGGAGTACATCAGCTTCTGTGTATAAATGCTTTTCACTCTATTCTCCCATTTGGTTGTTCTAAGCCTTTACAAAGGATTTCAAAAGGAATTTGTAAGTTTCTAGCAAGCAACAGAAAAGGAAAAAAAAAACCCTTATTCCAACATATTGCTTTTATGCCTCTACTAAAGTCCTTTAAAAATATATCTCGAGGCAGACAAAAAACAGAAGATAGAAATGTTAACCATTCCATACTTTTCATTATTTGTTTCAAGTACCAGCAATGTGCTTAGTGCTGCAGAAGACAGAAAGAGAAGAAACAATAAATCTTTTTAATACAGTAATTCTCAGAAAATCTAAATAATTTTTTAGAGCATTACATATTGCTGAACTACTTTATAAAGATCTGATTAAAAATCTAAATTCGTCTTAATTTAATATACTTTGTTTTCAAAAAGAAGCATTCTAAGTATAAGCAAGATAATTTTTTATTCCTTTTTGGGGGAAGTTCATTGATTTTCAACATGTCCACCTTTGAAGCATATCTTTCAGTCATTCAGATTGATTTTCCTGAGTGTCTTGCCTGCCAGCATATTGAAACTCTCTCTTTGTGATCTAAACACTTCCATGGGAGAGCTCCCAAGATCTGGATTTGTCTGAAGACAAGGCCTGTCAGACACACTCCGGTATCACTGCTGGAATATGAACCTGCAGAGTGCCCTGTGGCTGCAGAATTAACTGTCAACCACTTCCAAAGTTTTGAGGGAAAATATTCCCACAGAGGAAGGAGCTGGGCAAAAATTTTAACAACGTGATATATTAAAAGAAAAACAGTTAGAAACATTTGTCAGTGGAATAGCAAAAATATTGCTGCAGCCATTTCAGAAAATACTGACAGCAGCTAAAACCCGTTTTCTCTTCTCTGGATTTCTTTGTGCAACATTCCACTCTTTGAAGGGTAATCTAAAGGGATACTCAAAAAGCTAAGAAGATCATAACTATTAGCATAAGGTGATCAAAGTCAATAATAATAGATAACATCTTCAGAAGTGGATCCAGAACATCAAAAAAGGAAAGGCTGCTACTCCCAGCTGAGGTTGGTAACAGTGACTATGGCTGTGCACAAAGCTCTGTGCTATGCAGATACATCCGAGCTCGATGAACATAATCAGCTCTGTGAACATCACTGGAGCTTTACAAGGCCAGCATGCCTGAAAGATACTGAACCAATTGACTCATCAATTTGTAAATAACTGGAGGTCAGTAAGGTGAGAGAAAAATAGCCAACAGAGCTTTATCAAGAAAAAACATTATAAACTAATCTATTTTCCTTCTTTGACAATGTAACTAGCTTCTGGGTAAGGGGAAAGTATGATAGATGATAATATTAGCAGGCCATTTACCACCATGCACATTAACATTCTCCTAAGCAATCTACTTAAATCTAATTGCTGGAACGTGGACACTTAACTGGGTAAAAAAGGTCCAAAGCCTATATCCAAGGTATGGTCAGTCTGAGAGTCTAAAGAAAGTACACTCTTTTAAAAAGCTGTTAAGACTCTTATGCCACTGAATGATTCCGTCAGTGATTGAAAAATCGAGTATAACTATTAACAGATGATACCACAATGGAAAGGGATGCAAGGAGCTTGCAAAGCAGAATGACAATTCAAAATTATTTTGATAAACTGGAGAAAACATGTAATTAGTAAATTTTAAGGAAGACATGAACATAACATGACATTCAGAAAATAATTTCAAATGCATAAATGCAAGATGACCAGCTGGGCAACAGTACTCCTGAGAAGGATATGAAGATGAAAACATATCATCTTAAATTTAAGATAAAGGAGATTCCACTACAGAAATGCAGATATAATTCTGATGAAGTATATATTGTATAAGGAAATTACACATTCTTAATTTCCTAATGATTAGTAAAATTTAATCTAAGCTTCTGTCAGCTTTTATGAGTAGGATAAAGTGTTCAGTTTTGGACATAATTCTTAAAACATGCTGTAAATAAACCATGCTGTAAATTTAAAGGAAAAAAAACAAAGACTATAAATTTAAGCAAACAAACTATGAAAATAAGTTTGGGAAAAAAAGTGAAGTTTCCTATTTTTAAAACAAACAAATGAACAAGCAAAACACTGCACCCCAAATAAATAATTGAAACAAAGGAAAGACATGTTAATTTTCCTAAACTAAAATATTTCTGTAAGCAACAAAATGTTCAGTTAATATTCACAAACAGTAAAGGGCTTAATTTTCAGGAAGGAAGATTAATGAATCAGGAAAGCTGGTAGTAAAGAATGGTTTGTAAATCAAAACATGATAATGGTATTTTTTTCATTATCCCCAAGCCAAATTTTTACTGAAAATTTTAAAACAGATTAAGCCCATA